GCTATACCAGATGACTTATTTGAATAAGTTAAATCCTGTCACTTATTATGTATTATTTATTTATTTTTATTTATCTGGCTACTATAGTTTAAATGTCTTGAGTAATGATATTATATAATAACTTTGGATTTTTTTTTTTCATTTTGAAATTTGGATGTCAAATATGCACACTAAATAAAAAATAATAATTTTTGGCAAAAAAATAAATGTAATTTTTAATAATCATACATACATAATTGCAGTATTGTTTGTCTCAAATCAATGGTTTCATTTTTTTTATAGTATTGACAAATTGAAGTGATGTATTATCAATATATCATATAATATATATAATACATAAATAATTTATTAATATATATTAAAAACCTTAAAATTTAATACATGTATCTAAATTATCAAGTAAAAAGCCAACCGACACAAACTACAGTATACTGATTGTGAGTTTTGTTGAATCAAACAATATCAAACTTCTGATCTTATTTGGAAACCCTTATCTGAAAGCTTTGATGTTTTCCCCAATAGGAAAGGATACTATGAGTACATTAAAAAATACCACCATCAATAGATAGCTAGGTTCTGCTTGTGTTGGTACTAGCCACATTGATGCTTGAGAAAAGAAGAAATTTTCAAAATTAGAACCAGATACTGGCTACCAGAAATGTGAACTGTGAGAGACATCCAATCCAAACTGACTTGATTGTTAGAGGCTCTTATTCCAACCATGAAATCTTGGACAAGTCAAAAGTCACAACCCTACCTTTGAATTTGATAACTGTGTCTCTCTTTTTCAAAGCCTTCCTTGGATTTTCTGCACCTTGATGATGGCCAAAGACAAATGGATCCATTTGCATAAAATGGAAACACAATACTAAGCAATCATCTATTGCACATCTATCTACACTACTGAAATATGACAGAACAAGTTGTGGATGGTGAATTAGGGCATTTCTTCAAACATGATAAATTTCAAAACCATGGAATGATGCACACAGCTTTACTTACATGAAAAAAAGAAACATCTCACTTAATTCAATCCATGCAGACATTCCATGGAAAAACATTGTATAATTTGGTCATGAAGTATCAGATTACACCATTGTAACCATCAAATGGTGAATTATGCTACAAAGGGTTCCCTTGGCTACTATCAGACAAAACCTATTGCTCACCCAATGTCTATTGTCATGTAAAGCAAGAAGACAGGATGGTCATCCCTGATATGGAATGGTCACATAAATTTTCAATATGTGATGTCCACAGGATTTGTGAATACTGAAAACATATCATGATGAGGAGACTAGGTGGATGATACTTTGCTCCAGTACCTAATAAACAGATATTCCACTACTTCTCTTTTGCACCCTCTGAATACCATCTAAAATCTGTGAAACTGATGCACTTGCTAAATAGAAAATTGACATTGAAAGTGATGAGAAGGATGATGAGGGCAAGTAATCTTGCTGTAATGAGTTAGATTTATCATTAATATTTGAGCATCTTGAGCTTCTGATGAGGGCTTCATTTAAAGAAATATTTTCAAGTAATACTCCTTTTTTTACTTTCTCCTCATAAATTATTTATTTTTTTAGCATGAGTTGAAAATATACATGCAGCCCAAAGTATTTTGACACTGTCATAAAGGGGTTACACTTATGTTTTTAATAGTGAATGCCATAATTAATTTCTACTTTCTACTATCAAAATTAGATGATTTTGACCATTGAAAACACCAAACCAATTTGGACTGCATGTATAGTTGGGAACTACAGTATTTAAAGATGATGGATTTGGTGATGATGTTCCTAGGCTTAGAGTAGGACTACAAATATAACAATCATGATTGTTGTGATCTTTTAATTCTGGATCAATAGCATAGTTTTTTGATAAGTTAAATAAGTGAGTTGATCTGATAAATTTTTCAATTAATAAGTCAAAAACAGATTTATCTCTAGTTCAGGGTTTATTCAGCTAATTAATTGATTTTCCTGCAAAAATAATTCAGAAACTTACCTTGTTAAAGCTGTGTTGACTTCAAAGAAAGGTTTGTCAAAGTCTTCTATGCCATTAATGAATTGAATGGAATTGGTGCAATATAAATGTGTCCAGAGTCACATTGCCATATTTTTTTGTTTAATAATATTTTCAAGGAAGATAAATTTTATTTTTAGTTAATTAAGACAAAATCCCTAAGATTGTTCGGGGTCCTGTTCAACTAATATTGTCCAACATTAGTCACTGAACTTTTTATTGGCTGTGTAGATCATTGATTTCTTCCAAAAATGGAAACGTATGACCAAAAAAACAAATCATAGAATTAAAGCTAAGCTAAGACCTTTCCCTATAATCCAATGATTTCATTTCATTGATATGTAACGTTACCATAGAGGAACGATGCATCAAAGTTCACGAATTTACCATGTTAACCCCCAGATGGCGTGTTACACGAAAAAAATTAAAAATGAACGAATTGGAAGAATTGAAATTCTTGAATTTTTTATGGCTGATCTTTATCACGTGATGATAATAATGAAATGCATTGCTTTTTTGTGTATTATGCAATCATGCATGCCATGCTACGCAAGATCAAAAATTTATTGTTGGTTTACGATCTTCAAAAACACGTGACTAAATTTTTTTATTGCATTTTTGATTGGAATATTTTCTCTCAAAATTGGCGTCATTGCACGAAAAGTTCAGCGACTAAGTGACTTGCACCATAGTTATTATATATATAATCAATTAAAACTTATTTTAAAAGAACACTGATAATTTGATAAAATTGCTTCGAAATAAGGTTTTACTTTTAAAATATTGGAACAGACCTTAAAGTTTTAACATTTTCATCCTCTCCAGCTTTGGTTTCTACATCATAATAGTCAGATTTAGCCAGCAAGCTTGCTAAATCATTTACAGGCTTATTGATATGTTTTAATTTTCAAGGATGATTATTAAGCTGTTCTAAAAAATTAAAAAGATTAATCAGAACTTTAAATTTTTTGTTTGATATTCTAGAACAAAGTGATGTTGTAAAATTCAAGAAAACTCTTTGATTGAAATATGACGATGACTATATTTTATAATATATATATATATATCTAATACAGTATATATAATTTTTTTTTTTTTGAAACCTATTTGCCAATACAAAATTGTTTAAATATAACATCTAATATTTCTTCAATATCAACATGACCAGTAATTTTACCCAAAGCATTCGTTGCATATCTTAATTCTTCAGCAGCTAACACTATATCGCATTGATCTGGAATAAATAGGTGATATGAGAGATGGAAAAAAGAAACAATATATTGTTTGTTTGATTGTTTGTAATTTTTCCTTGGTAAACAATTATATTTATTAAATACCTAGAGAATTTTTCAAAAAGTTTAAACAATCCTTTAAATTCTCACGATGTCTTGTTTGAGTTATTAGGGCAACTTGTGAAGTTGATGAATCATATCTAAATTAAATAAATATAACTTTTTTTTTAAAAAAACTATTTGAAAACTGTTTTAACGATAATGATGTAATAGTGTTTACTTTGTTTTTAAAAGATTGACAAATTCATCCAAAAATTCTTTGAAGCCTTCACCAGTTTCACATGATAAACACCTTATAAATTTTGTAGAAAAGTTTTTATTGATTTTTTCTTTTAACCTTATCAGATCCAATTCATTAATAAGATCAATTTTATTTAGAATTAGAATATTTTCACTAATACTACTACTATTTTTGTTATCGTTATTGTTATTATCATTAGAATTCTCTTTATCAGCATTATTGTCATCATCATCATCATTATTAATCATATCTGTTATAAATGGATATATCAAAAAATTTGAATTTAATAATTCATCGCAAGGTAAAATACATATTTTGATATCTGCTGATTTTATCCTAAAAAAATATAAATATAAAAACCAACAATAAATATAAAATATAAAATATTATCATTGGGAAAAAAATTTATTATTGACCATTTTTTTGCCCTTGAAATTCCTTCAATCTCGATCAAATCATCAGTTTGTCTTAATCCTGCAGTGTCGCCTATAACGATTGGATATCCACCAATATTTAACGAAACTTCAATAACATCACGTGTTGTTCCAGGAATTGGTGACACTATTGCAGCTTGTCTTTGAGCTTTGGAGATTTATTTTTTAAAATTATAAAAAAAATTTTTTTTGCATAAATGTATAAACAGTAATAATATTACCTTTTTTATTTTTTTATTTCATACCTAAATAATTTAAAAAACTGCTTTTTCCAGCATTTGGAGGACCTAGAACAGTAACAAATATACCATCTCGTAAAATTTCACCTTTACGATTATCATTCATATGTTCAGATATTTCGATTATCAATTGTTTAATTTGATTAGTAACTATTTCATTAATAAATTCAATCAATCAATTGATTATTAAGTAATTTTGTTATAATTATTACAATATTTAAATATTCATTATAAAATATCAATCACAATTTACCTTGATCAAACACATCATCTTCAATATTTTCATCTTCACCAAAATCAATAATGGCCTCTACAAGTGCCATATTTTTAATCAATTGTTTTCTCCAAGATTCGTATAAAATTTTAAGTCCACCCTATGTTGTATATATAAGATGTGAATATAATATACAATATATAAATAAATAGATAAAAAATTTAATAGAAATTACCTGAGCTTGTCGTAAGGCCTGTCTTCTCTGTGCTTCTGTTTCAGCATTCAACAAATCTGCTAGTCCTTCAATTTCAGTCAAATCTAATTTTTCGTTACCAAATGCTCTTAAAAATTTTTATTTAAAAAAAAAAACAATTTACCATTTTTAAAATCTAGTTAACTAATTAATTGTCAAAATATATACATCTATCTAACTATATATAATATATATTTTACCTACGAGTGAATTCTCCATGTTCCGCGTGTCTAAAACATTCAATAGAACCAAGTGCCTCCAATACTCCACTTATCACTGAAGTACCGCCATGTACATGCAATTCTACTAAATCTTCTCCAGTATAACTATTAGGTCCTAAAACATATATATATGCATATTTTCTTATTATCAAGTTAATTTGATCCATTTGTAAATGAATTTAATTGTTTGTTTACCTGGAAACCATAATGTTAAAGCATTATCAAGTACTTCGCCAGTATTTGGATGAATTATGGCTCTACCTGTTGCTATACGAGGCATTGGTAACCTTTTCTTATTCCGAGTCATCCTTGATAATACCTTTTATTTTTTTACAAAAAAAAAAGCGCTGTTAACATAAAAACTAGAAAATATGTAAAAATCGAAAAAAATATTAACCTGTGAGGCATTTGGACCAGAAATACGTATAATAGCAATCCCAGCTTTTCCTTGACCAGTTGATAGCGCAAAAATAGTGTCTTTAAAGGTGTTCAAAGAGTAAAACCTCGATGAATTAAAACGTATTGATTTATTGCATAATAATATTTTTCTGAATTGATTATTTAAAAAAAACATTTTTTGAAATCTATCCTTGTGTAGATCCAAAATAAAGAAAAAAATTGACCTCCATTTATTTATAATAATTCAATAAATATTTATTTAAATTGAGCATACAATAGCTTGTTTAAAAGCCTAAAACCAAGAAATTTATTGATATATATATTAATAATTGATTCGTTCGCCGTTACTATCAATTATCATCTGGCAACGATTATTCATTGACGAAACAA